TATTTCCGTATAGGTGGGTCCCTAACAGGTGCTACTATTGTTGATCATTCGGCTATGAATTATATTGTTGGTCATTCTGCTATACGAAAAGTATAGTAAATTTACTATATAAAAAAAGGATGTTTATACTTTTTAGTATTTCGTTTTTGTTTGAGAGTTCACTATTTGCTCAGAGCCAAGTCCCTAACAGGTGCTACCACCCCTGCTCAGAGTGGACCTTGCGCAACTCTCCTCAAAACCTCCAGTTCGCGGATCTGAGGTTTTCCTGTCGGATGTAATATATTATCATACCCAGGAATAATATATACTGAAGTATAAACCTTAATAATTAACCGTTGCAACTAAGATTTGCTTTGGTTGTTTTGATTTACCGTCGTGTCCACCTCTTTGTTTATTTAATCCTGTAGTATAAATATTTTGTAAGCAGTTTTATGGTTTTATCTTCATATGCAGAGGTGCGGGAGAAATATCTCCAACGTATACCTCCCAGAAAGACGACGCACATAACGTAAGATGAAGATAGTATTGCCAGTAATATCATAATGTTACGAATACGTTAGACGTTCGTCCACATATTAATGCGAACTTGAACGGATGTTCTTCAAGACGTTGGCTTCGTTTTTACCCATTTTCGGTTTACTCTTAATAGCTGACCATTTTCAGAGGAATATTTTGCTGAATTGTATACTTTGAAGGTAAATGTATATTTGACAAATGTATACTTTGTACATGATCTATAGTAATGGTGTTTCTTTAAACGTCTATTAGATGTGGCACCAGTTATGTTCGAACCGTCGAAAAAACCGATTAAATCCTTCAGTGATGGTACCAACAGTCATACTGGGTTCCATCATGAAAGTCCATTAAACGACCATAAAGAGAACGGTGAATAAGTTTAAACAGAGGGTACAGTAGAAAGGAAAACTGGATAAGGAGCTCACAAAATGAAGAGGCATCATCATTTCAACTTAGAGAAAGTGAGATGAATTGGAAAAAAATACAACTCAATCCATAAGTCCAAAGAGCAATGAAAGTAAGGGTGGAAAATGAAATTGTACGTGAAAACTGTGAGGCACCTTGTTATTCTAAGGCAGAAATTTAGAAGGTTAGAGATGAATAAGTGGTAAAATGGTTCATGATTAACACACACACACACACACACACACACACATATATATATATATATATATATATATATATATATATATATATATATATATATAACTAGACCCGTTTCGAAAAACCTCGAATTTTTGATTTGCTAATCAAATCAATCTCGAGGGAAAAAAAAGGTTTTAAAAAAAAAGAGCTACAAACATGAACTTCTGTCGACAAAAAATCGCACACATGCAGGTCTGAAGTCCAAAGAAAAAAACCGCGATACGAGTAAACAACTAACTAACAAAAAGAGCTCAATACAACCGTAGAGCAGACCTAGATACACCTAGTGAGCCAGACAAACCTAGGTAGGTTTCAACTAAACGGATCGTCAGGGAAAGTTTGGCAAACTTTCCCTGACGATCAATTTAAAACCTAGGTAGGTTTGTCTTCTGGCTTACTAGGTATATATATATATATATATATATATATATATATATATATATATATATATATATATATTTGAAGTTTTTTCACACACTTAATTAATTATAGACATGTCATTTTCGTTAATAATTGATTTCATCATGGTTCTTGTGTTAAGCATGGAGACTAATTATACATTGTTATTGCTCAAAGCAGAGTCCAATAGCGTTATTAAAACCTGGGAGAATTCCAATAAGATAACTTTAGTCATTTCTAAGATACAACGTTTCAAATCTTAATCTAACAAATGGACAATTTTACATTTACACGATTTGGATAATTTTTGATACTATACCATATATATATATATATATATATATATATATATATATATATATATATATATATATATATAATACTAATAAACTTATAAATATAATCAGTTTTACTCGTCCGGTAAAACCTTAGGTGTTTTGGCTTGTAAATGAACAAACCAATACCCAAAGAAAAAAAAAGGTAAAAAAAAGAAAGAAAGAACAAGGAACATGTACTTCCGGCGAGAATAATCGTCTAGAATGAAAGTTCAGAGTCCAAAGAAATAAAACCTCCGACACGAGTAAATTAAAAATAAAAAGTGAACATTGAAGTAAGCCAACACTTAGAGCCGACAGTCTGTTTCATGCTCGACGCAATCATCAGGCCATGAGTGCTGTTATTTTTCTCAGGCTACTACGATTGCGTCTAGCATGAAATAGACTGTCGCCTCTAAGTGTTGACTCATAAATGTTCACTTTTTATTTACACACGCTCTATCTCTGAAATTGAGCATTTTATCCCATAAATAAATATAGCGCACCTTAAGACTATATTTCTTCATATATATATATATATATATATATATATATATATATATATATATATATATATATTTAGGCAGCAATTTTTCATTAATGCATGTTTTTATTTTTCACTCACGCGTGGTGATGTGTGACGTCACGAGCTGCGACGCGATTTTCGCTTCCGCGTCTTGTATATACGAGTTTGTCGTTACTTGGAAATTTTCATGCAGCAAGGGCGGACTATCATTGTTCTTTCCTCCGTGTGTTGTTTGCTTTATTGAAATCGTCATCTTTGATAATGTCTCGTGTAAGCCGAAAGCTTAGATTGGATTATCAATTAGATTATGTATCAATATGGTGATTTCCTTTCGTCTTTCAACGATAATGTGATTAAGCTTATCAAACAATATGAAAGGAACTTACTTAAAATAAACAGACAAAACTTGTTTATATTATTTAATGAAAGATGCATTAATATATATATATATATAGGTGTGTGTGTACATGTGTATGTATGTGTGTGTGCTTTGAGAGTGAATGAGAAAGAGAGACAGGAGACAATTTATTAGATATCTATGATATAACGTTTGGTATGTTAAACATTACTGATATTGCGTCAGATATTCACGATATGGATCCTATCCGAAACTAAGTACTAAAATATTGGTTATATATATATAATTTTGTTATTACTTATCCCCTTTTTTATAAGCGTTTTTCTTTATATATATATATATATATATATATATATATATATACAAAAGAAAAAAAAAAAAAAAAAGAAAGAAAGAAAGAAAGAAAAAAAACGAAAAAATCGGTCTAACAATCTACTTTCATATATATGTATATATATATATATATATATATATATGGTGCGTAAGCGATTTGAATCATATGGCGACTTTAAAGACCATTTGAAAAATATGCACATCTTATTTACAAGTAACTAAATTTATTTCATACCAAACTTGGCACAAAGTTGCGCCAATGCTTGAATTTCATGTTTATTCGATGTAATTGCTTTAGTCCCTGTCGAAATATTCTCGAAATTAAAGATGGTTTGAATATCATTTGATGACACTTCTTTGACCACAACAAGCACTCGTTTTACTGATGATTTACTATAAATGATTATTTTAACCTCCTGATTTCTGATCATGCTCTCCAACTTCCATTCTTTTTTTTTAATTATCCTGAAGAGAAACATACTACAAACAAAAGTTATATAATATGTATATCCAACTTGTTCTATATATATATATAATATATATATATATATATATATATATATATATATATATATAGAGTTTATAGTAGTTCCAAAGAGAGAAAGCTTCAAGAAAGACATTTGGGTCACTAACCTATCGAGAATATTTAACATCGAACAACATTCCTTTTGATGAAGGTCAGGAGACTGGAAAACCGTCAGAACATTACAATCACTGTTTGCTCATTTTAATATATATATATATATATATATATATATATATATATATATATATATAAGAAGAAGCAACACTAATAAGCTAATCAAAATTATATATATATATATATATATATATATATATATATATATATTCCTATCCCCTTTTTATAAGCCTTATATATATATATATATATATATATATATATATATATATGTCATCCATTTGAGGCGACTTGCTCATCTTACAAGTCGTCATTGCGTTGAATTTCATGTTTATTCGATTAATTGCGTTCCGATGGTTTCTGTTCTTTGACCACAACAAGCACTCGTTACATGTTCGGTATAGATATTGAACTCCCATGTTCTTTCAGAACTTCGACGATCATGGCGCTCCAACTCCCTTTATTCCTTGTAGCTTTCAGGTTCTCCTTCCCCATACCACGTTCTCCTTCCTCGTCTATGCCACGCGTTGCGTTCCGTTGTCTCTCTCTTTCCTCTATTCGACCCCAGTATCAGGTTCTCCAAGCTGCCTCTTCCCCAGAATCTTCAGCTGCCTCTTCCTGATATTAAGTATAAGCCTCCTCCTTGTTTGTATCCCCTCTAAGACCTCGTCGTTGCTCACATGCTCGCCCCATGTTATCCTTAGCATCCTTCTGTAGAACCACATCTCCGTCGGCTCGATTCTCTTCTTCATCATTGAAGAAATCGTCCAACATTCCCTGCCGTAAAGAAGAACAGGTGGCACGTAACAACTCAGTATTCTTTTCTTTGTTAACAAAGAAATCCTCCTATCTCGCATTACACTACTCAGCTTTTGGAATGTGTCCTTGGCCATCGCAATACGTCTATAGATCTCAGTGTCGTACTTGACATTATTCGGGTGAAAGCAGCTTTAAGAGAATCAGTCGTATTGTGGAATCATTCAATAGTCTTCCGTTCAGCGCCGCCCACGCATGTAATAATCAAGGATATTTACACCTGGCGAGTTCATTGGCCATATATTCGAATTGATTTGATATTGTCCATTATCCAATCTCTGGTCACCACTGTTTTGTGAAGCAGTCGAGAGCTTCTAAAATAATTCCTGTAGCCAGATGCATTCAGCCGATAACCCTGTTGAATGAAGTGTGGTAGCATGAGGCACTCTTGATACTCATCATCCTTGAAAGCATTACAGAAGCGAAAAACTTAATGTTCATTACATCGAGAATATGCACATAATCACCTGTGATTTCTGTTCACTTTTTGATCATGGTGGAAATTTGTGTTCTTTTGAAAATCTCAGAACATCTCTGAATCTTCTGGGTGTTTCAACTTCTCGTGGCAACATTTGTTCTTGCGTGTGCAGATATGTACTGTTTTTCCTCCTCGGCTACGACTTGTAGTGAATGCTTTCATGTACAACTATTGTAACTGAGTTATCAAAAACAAAAGTAGTGTTATGTTAGGTATATCTCTCTGTGTAGTAGCAGTCGTAGCACAGTTCTCCGCGTTACGCTTTGCAAACGGGTTTTCTAAGTAATACCACTTTGTTCGCCAGTTGTTCTCTATTTATACTTGTCTATCTAATTTGCATTCGATACACCTCCCTGAAACGGAGATGTCGTATATCTTTTCTTTTTTTTTCCTTTTACTACTCCTGATAATTCTTGTACTTTGTTATCCTTCCTTTCGTCTTTCTTGTTTTCTTTTTAATGGTAATCTCATTCTCTCCTCCGTCGGCCATTGTGCCCCTTAATTTTTTCACTCTTGTAAATGCAGCAAAAGTTCATATCCATGCTTCTATATGTTCTCTGTTTTCCAGTGAATTTATCAATCCTATCAACAACACCATTGTTATGTTTCGTATATCTCTCTGGAGTAGCACTCACAGCAAAGTTATCTGAGTTACGTTTAGCAAACGGGTTTGCTAAGCAATGCCATTATTTTCGCCAGATGTTCTCTATTTACACTTGTCTATCTAACTTTCATACGATAATACAAGTAGAAAACCGGAATTGTTTTAACAAATTCTTTAATTTTTGGTACAGGGAGACATAATGTAGAATAGAAACTAGTGAAGAGAATGATTCGCCGTCAAATACTGTTTTCAACAAAAGCTACTGTTCCTCCTGATACTCCTCTTGATGTAGGTGTATTTTTATGTGATTCGTCCCACGGCCGAGTCCATATATGTAGGGAAATATTCTTCCTCAAAACAACCACATTACGAAATGTGTCTATATATGCATGGCTATCTCTGGAAATGGCCCACTCAGAAGCTCCTCATTGATAATCTTCTGCATCCGTGTGTACAAATTGTGATGACCAGATTCTATCCGAAATTTATGAATGCAGTTTACCGAAACGTTTCCTCCTATGACAGGATTTTTCAAGGCAAATTATATTAGTATAACAGTTATATATATATATATATATATATATATATATATATATATATATATATATATAGATATTAGAATAAATTATCTTTTTTACAAAATCACATGGCACACCATCCCTGGAGTGATCAGGTAGAAGTCAATTACTCTCTGTAGACAATAGGTAGGGATTTAAAAAAAAAATAATGATTATCTATTCTAGGAATAATATTTTCTTTCTTTCACAACCGGGAATGGTGCTAATATTATCTTGGGCATAAATCTCCTTGAACTCTTTATCCCGAAGTGAAAGTATCCTGATTATTGATACTGCTTAGTAGATTAGATGCCAAGAACTTTTCTTTTTTTTTTTACCAAAATATCTTCTAGACCATTTCTAAAACAAGGTCAAACTGTTTTTAGAACCAGAGATTTTTTTTCTATGATCGTCACTCTCCAACATTAATTTGAAAGCTGCGGCTTAATTTTAATGATGCACATGTTAATATTCCTGTATTTTCACGGAACAATCATATCAAGGTAACAATCATATAGTGCATCGATTCGGGTATATTACATTATTTACATTATTCGGACTATTGTCCTCATCTTTGTCGCCATATTTATTACATCGTTTCAGTCGTTGTGCGCTCCGGCCTTCTTCAGGGGGTTGGAATGTCGAACTAGTTCTAGTTGCACGTGCCATGTTTTATGGATGTCAGTTATCAGTTATCTTCTGTTAATTTCCCTCTGACACATGGCATAGTGAATAAAGGCGTTAGTTAGATCCAGTGACCGGACCCAAAGATCGTGTGTTCAGTACTCGGTTAATGCAGTGGAGAACTTTCAACGGGTTTAGTTTGGCACCGTCTGTGAGAAATTTAGAAACAGTATGCTGTACTGCTTGGCATTCGCACCGGAAGCTCCAATACGAATATATCTGAATGTTTGGGTAAAGAATTGAGGGCAGTGCAGAGATTTCGAAAAGAGTTAGCTGAGTCTAATGGTGATTAAAGAGGTATGGCAGCAAGGAAAACTCACTCTGATCGTTCTAAGAGAATTAGACCGGGAAGGTAGTGCTGCCAGAGTCAAGAGGGATTCTAAGTCTGGAAACAGGATTCTGCACCATGCAACACAAGTAGAGGAACCCTGTCATGGCTGTCAAACTCCATCTCTGCTATCCCATCACGCCTTACCTTTGGCAACCTACCACCTCAGACTGTAACCCTTGATTATTATGCGTGGGCTGCTGTTGAGCGAGACACCGACAAATCTACTTGTAATAGAAAAGATAAAATGAAAGCAAGGTTAATGGCAGCATTCACCAACTAATTCATGGCGATCGTCCAAAAGAAATACAGGAGATTCCGAAGTAGTCTGGAGGCCGTGGTTGAAGCAAATAGCGATTTTTATTGAATACATTTACTCTTTATTTTTGTGCAATTTTTGGTAAATATATCTGTTAAAATGAGAGGTCGGTGTTATTTTAATTCTTTTGCGTAATTTAAACGACAATTTATCCATCGCACCCTTTATCTCTCTCTCTCTCTCTCTCTCTCTCTCTCTCTCTCTCTCTCACGATAGCAACTTTTAATCATCTAATTGAAGTATAATTCAAACAAACGCAGGCTAACGTATATTTTATCTGGTGAAAAACGTGACACACAGACGCGGGACTGAAAAAAAATTGATAAATTGATAAAGCGATTCTCAAAGGCTAAAATTCTTCAGATCCATTGTTCGCAGTTATTTCACACATTAAATCTATCTATCTATCTATCTATCTATCTATCTATCTATCTGTTAGTGTGCATTCTTTTCTCGTTCTATCTATCTATCTATCTGTCTATCGAATTCTGGTTCTGACTATCTATCTATCTATGTTAGTGTGCATTCTTTTCTGGTTCTATCTATCTATCTATCTATCGAATTCTGGTTCTGACTATCTATCTATCTATTTATCTATGTTAGTGTGCATTCATTTCTGGTTCTTTCTTTCTATCTATCTATCTATCTATCTATCTATCTATCTATCTATCTAATTCTGGTTCTAACTGTCTGTATATCTACCTATGGAATTCTGCTTCTGACTGTCTGTATATCTATCTATCTATCTATCTATCTATCTATCTATCTTAGTGTGCATTTATCCTTTTGTGGTTCTATCTATGTATCTATCGAATTCTGGTTTTGACTGTATGTCTGTCTGTCTATCTATCTATCTATCTATCTCATTATAGTTCTATCTATATATATATATCTCTCTCTCTCTCTCTCTCTGTCTATCTATCTATCTATCTATCTATCAATGTTAGTGTGCATGTATTCTTTTATAGTTCTATCTATATATCTATCGAATTCAGGTTCTGACTGTCTATGTCTATCTAGCTATCTATCTCATTATAGTTCTGTCTATCTATCTATCTATCTATCTATCTATCTATCTATGTTAGTGTGCATTTTTCCTTTTATGGTTCTATCTATCTATCTATCTATCTATCTATCTATCTATCGAATTCTGGTTCTGACTGTATGTCTATCTATCTATACATATATATTAATAATAATAATAATAAATTTATTTATCTATCAATAATAGTAATAATCGTTTTCCATTCCTCTATAATAATTTTATTTATCTAACTATCTATGAAAATACATTTATTTATCTATCTATCCATAATAATAATAAATTTATTTATCGATCTATGTATTTATAATGAATCATCGAAAATACATTATTTTAACCTTTTCAAAAAAATAATATATATATATATATATATATATATATATATATATATATATATATATATATACACACTAGCAGCATGATCCGGTGTTGCCCGTGTTTTATTCAAAAATTGTACGACTCATACAGCAATCCCTATCACTTGACTTAAAATATTTTTGCCCTTCCTTGCCTTTAAAGGAGTGTTCTTTGCCGTGCTGATTTTCCTACATGCCTTACTTCTTGCCTATCTCACTCTGCAAATTTTTTTTAAATTCTATACTAAACATTAAATCTGTTACGAAAAAAGAACTAAACAAAATGAACACAAAACGATCAGCTTTAAAAAAAGGACTCGTAACTGGAAAAACTGAATAAATAAAGAACGTTAACAACAAATACTTTTTCACACCCAACCCAGTTCTGCGGAATCAGAATCAACGTTGAGTTTAAGCAAGCGAATGATGCAATTGGAGTAAAGTGCCATGCAGATTTAAATTTTTCCCACTTGTGACGAATGCAGCTATCGATTTTTTTTTTGCATGCTAGCATGCTAGTTAACATTCGTGTCAGTCAGCTGTTGGCTCTCAGGCTGGCCAATAGAATCTTCCTGCTTATTCGTGGCAGCCAGCTATAGGCTCTCACTCTGGCCAGTAGAAAATGGCCGCAAACTACATGAAAACTGCCGTAGAAGCATAAAAAAATCGATTATTTCCACTATCGATGGGAGTTGGCAAATGCAAAGTCAGTCTTGGCCTTGGGGCTAGGCTTTTGGCATGATTAGGGCGGGGGTGGAGTTAGTGGATTTTCTCGAAGTTTTACTTATTGAGATTGCCTACATCCCTAGAATATGTGAATTTATTTTGAAAATTGGCTTCATTTTTTATTTCTCGCCTCGTCGAGAAAGTATACAGGCGTGTCCGAAAATTATAATTTTAATTTTTAATAAATACATTTGTCTAAATGGCCTTGTAATATACAATTAATATTATTACTCTTATTATCAATATTATCATTTTTATTAAGATCTGAAACTTCTATTATCAACCAATTATATATCCACACACACACACACATACATATATATATAGAGAGAGAGAGAGGAATATTTAGGAGATAATTATAACTACGTAATTCATCGAGTCTAGAAGAAACCTCAACAGAATGCAGAAAGCACTGGACCGCCGTTTCGTCTTACATTTGGGACTCATCAGCAGTACGCATCCACTACCGAGAATTGAAACCCGAACATTTACGATAGGAGGCAAACGCCATACCAAGTGTACCAACAGTACTCGGCAAGGAAGTGGTAACGAATTAGACTCGATATAGAGCCGCTCGATCATAAATATATATATATATATATATATATATATATATATATATATATATATATATATATATATATATATATATATATATATATATATATATATATATATATATATATATATAGTGGACTCTGCTATCGTGAACGATAAATGAGAGTCAGCATTGGATGGTGGCTTTCGTATGAAACTTACGCATGCTAGCAGAGGCTATTGTGCAGAAAATCAGTATAGGGAAAGGCATATTTCATTTGGGCGTTCTTAAGTGCGATACTAGCCCAGCCTTGCTGCCGGTGACAAAACCACACTGACAGCTGAAATTTGTTCGAGCAGGATTTTGATGGCTTTTCTGCTTCAGAGCTTGACGAAGCTGATCATGCTGCTTAATCTACTGTCTTCAATACACTTTAACTTAAGGAAACCCGTCTTACGCCACTCCTTTTGGTTTGATACTTGGGCTTCCCCGTTTTTCAGATCAAAGTTGAGACGTTCGATACAGCGCATTCTTGGAAGCCTGTGCTCATCCATTCTTAAAATATAACCAGCCCACTTTTATATAAAGTTATGCTATATTCATGGGATAAAGTGCTCAATATCAAAGTTAGAGCGTATATAAATATAATGTTAACAGAAATAGTACCCGAAAATAACTTGGCCACGTCTACTGACAATTGATGAATTTTATACTTTAATGAATACATTTACCACTGTATGATGCATTTTAATTACATTTCGTTCACAAGTTTCCTTTGTCTTTCTAACATAAAATTAGAATTTCACGCCTCTGGTTAAGCCTTCAGAAGGAGTCAGCATCGTTCGTGTTTTCTCTGACTTATTTCTTTTCGAAATTTGATTTACCGCTGTTGCGTGTATATAAATCAAACTGTGATCAATTATTCATTAATCAATACGGAACTCTCTTTGAATTCATCGAACCGAATTGATTAAGTCTTCAAATCTTTTGCGTTACTAACGTTCAGAATGTTTATAAACCGAATACCGTTTATCGCCAAAATACAGCTGTAACTTTCGAAGTGATATTTTCTAAGGACTTTACATGGTGGAACAAAACTTTACAGAATTTTATATTCAAAAAACTGTAAAAAGCAAAATAATGAATTATCCGTAGACGTAATATCGTTTGTATATATCGTTTCATTTATAAATACACATTCAATTTGGAAGTAATTTATCCCAGTTAGTAAACACAAAAAAAGTTTTAATTTTATCTTCATCGAACTTTTAGCCATTTCTTCTAATTATGGAAGACCAAATGAGTCTAATAATAGAAGATAACGATCCTGGTTTCCTTCAGGAGGCCCAATTACTGACGATGAAACGCGATGGAGGAATATTCACCTTCTGTCAAGTGCGAGTCATAATAATCCTTTCTGTAACAATGAACCGCCACTTCTACTACAAAAGTTACTTTTCTCGCACTTAGTGCCTGTGGAGCTCCCTTCTGTTTACTTGCTTCTCTGATAACTACAATTTAAAAAAAAATTAAATGCAACGTCAATCACCATCTTCTGTCTTTTTGAAACCCGTTCATCTTACGTCTTTTCCTCAATCCTCCCTATGCTAAGACCTTTCTCTCATTTTCATTCCCTGTAACCCCCTAAGCACAAGTGAAATACCCGCTTTGTTAGGGGTGAAATGATTTAATAAAAAAAATCTATGATCAGGAATGTCGAGGGGTTCTCCCCTTTTTACACAAATGGACTCAACCAGTATACACATATACTACGGCTACGTGAAGACCCGGGAGAGCAAGACGGAAGAGTCGAGTCCAGAGTGAGAGAGTAAAAGGTTGTAGGTAACCGGAAGAGTGAGGGTGAGGTAACAGCGTTGTAGGAGTCACAGTGAGCGAGCACGTAGACTCAGTAAGAAGTCATACAGCGATACTTCAATACCAAAGACTGTATACATATATATTTGTTACTAACCCGTATTCCTGGAACTACTAACCTGCTTTACCAATTTGTATTATTACGTTAATACATTATTTTCATATATTCATTCCTGGCGTTTGTTATTTATTGGTACCGGATTTCATCCCGGAATCCACAACAAGGAATTGGAATGAAAACAGCGATGACATCAACCCTGATTCCATCAGAAAAATCCATGACATTTATTTAGTAAATACAGTGTAACCCAGATATAAGAGACCCGGATATAAGAGAAACCCTGATATAAGAGAGATTTTCTCTGGTCCCAAATTAGAGCCTGTGTTAATGTATATAAAACAGACCAAACCCGGATATAAGAGAAACCCGGATATAAGAGACTTCTTCTCCGGTCCCGACAACTCTCTTATATCCGGGTTACACTGTATTAAAAACTCCAAATAACTGTGTATATTGAACATTTACAATAAATATACCATAGGAGATAAGTAAATACAACACAGAATAGGTGCTGAAGAGGCAGTTCGCCCAACATCACAATTTGCCACAAAATCAAAATATCAACCTGAATAACCTCTTCTGATCTAGACTTTCATATGGATGCGATGCATGGCGCCAAACCTGTTCAGAGAGTATCTAAACTTTCAACTCTGTAGAAACACTTTATTAAATCAATGGTTTAAAACAGCTTTGATATATGTCGTGGCACGTACGATACTTCTTTGAACTTTTTGCCTTTGTGCTATGGAATCAAAAACAAAGAGCCGTATCAAATAACTGTAGCACATAAGAGAATCCAATAATAAGTATATTTATGCATTAATACGTGCGTGCGCGTGAACACGCATCACACAGACACACACTCACACATGCATCTATATATGAGAGAGAGAGAGAGAGAGAGAGAGATCAAAATATACCTTTCCAAAACCTAAACTCTTATCTGGAATTGGAATGAAAGCACTGACGACACCAACACTGATTCTATCATTCAAATTCAGTATGTGGAATTAAACACTTCAGAATCCTCGGCGTCTGGATCAGTCATATTAAGTATTGGAGAAAAGGAATATTCTGTGCCAAAAGTAGTTTCGTTCCTGACTTGTAATCTCGGCTCCAGTCTTTTTCCCGCCGACATAACATAGCTTTCTTATGCCTTTTCTAAAGAGAGTGATTTTTCATTTTTTTCTACCTGTAGTCACGGCGTAAATTGCTAGAAAAACCGACTTAACACCTGAAAAGTCGAGATATGTTTATAAATATACTCGTCACATTGAGACTTTAATATGAATGTTGCCGAACTTGTCCAGACCTATGTAAATTGTCAGCTGTATACAATCGCTTCCTAAGATTAATTGTGAAAAAGGTTTTGATCGAGTGAAACCTGAGGGCCTTGGCATCGTGGACTGGCGCTAAAGACTCACAAACGAAGAACTATACTAAATAGCATGAACCACATCACTCGAGAACTAACAATAACAGCAACAACTAAAATGAATACCACATGTAACTCGAAGAGAAATAATGACACAAGAAAATTCCAAATTACTTCAAACAAAAGGTAAGGAAGAAAACCCCATCAATACTGGAGAGTACTGGAGAGTCGTCTTCCTGAATTTTGTTTTAGAAGAAAGATCTTATAAATTTCATCCTGTAAGAGTACTTGCTGCTCAGTAAATGAATGCTGTTACCTTGGAGGGAAACGGCTTATATTATTGTTACCATTACATTCAATTGTTAATTTTTTAAAGCTTTGTTAATGTACTTATATTAATTTTAGATTGTTATAAAAGGCTAAAAGTAAATTCTGCTATTCAACTCAAATTAGCGTCAAAGTATAAAGGTGATCATTTGGAAATATATGTTTGACATTGACTTCGAATTCCCGCAACCATGAATCGTAGGAAATTCTATCAAGTAAAATATAGATAAAAGGCTAGTACAAAACATACCTTCTGTTCCTAATATAAGAAATAGAATGAGATATCCCTCTTGTTTTTCTTTGATCTTGTGCCATTCTCTTGTAATTTTTGTCTATTTGGCAGTTTACTTTTAGTTCATTCGTTAGAACACACGTCTGCGCTGACGATAGAATCCTGGAGAGTAACAAACGGTACATTCTTGGCTTTACATTTGCTACTGCCAAAAAATGTTGGGTCTCTATGTCGTGCCATTTTTTTCTCTTCACAGTCCATCACGGACATTTACAAATACACAATTCGTCTGTGCATTGAATACTGCAGCCATATCCGCTCTGGTGCTTTTTCAATTCATCACGAAGTTCTGGACAAAACCGAAACAAGGAATCGTAATGTAATCGATCATGACTTGGCATTATCGATAATACATCGATATTAGTTAATTTGCCACCGATGTAGCATGGCTCCTCTCTGTATTTCTACAAATATTTTCATGATAATTGCTCTGACGAACTTTTTTCCCTGGTGCTCCGATAACATAAATTTAAGCAAGCTACTAGATTGACATCTAAGTCCTACCCGTTTAATGTTGATATAGCTAAATGCAACCGTTACCTCTACTCCAACGGTTTCTTTTCTCATGCTTCTAGCCTGTGGAACTCCCTTACGTTTATCCCCTTCCTAATAAATACAATGTCAATCGCCATCTTCTGTCTGCTTGAATCCCGCTTATTCTTTGCCCTTTCCTCAACCCTCCCTATACTCAGTCATTTCTCTCACTTTCACTCCCTGTAAGCACCTGCGCACTAGTGGCGTTCCCGACTTGCTTGGAGTGAATTTATTTTTAAAAAATGTTTCACTTATTCTAATTTGCTTATCCTACATCTCTGTCTTCTTTAGAATTACATAATTGTCTACGGTCAGTTTTAGGGTTAGGGTTTCAGAAGCAATATCTCCCATCATCGCAAAAATATTTCCACAAGTGTGGCATACGGACTAATATAAGTAAAATACAAAATAATAAGAAGAAATAATAGTTGACTATATTTGAAAATTCCAAATCCAGTATACATTGGTAAAAATTTCAAAACTCTTCAGGCAGCATAAGACAATGGTGTTTAGAAACGCGTCCCCATATTCCAACACACTTTTTTTTTCCGCATACGGGTTTGTCTCCCCTTCCGGTCTTGTGCCGCCTACTATAAGGAGCGTAACGCGTCGCTGATTAATCTTTCCACTTTGTCATATTACCGCCACATTTATGGTATTACAAGATCATTTTCACGGAGCATACATCTGACAAGAGAGCACTTGGAGCCCCACACCGTCGATTCAAGAATCAGCTCAAAAACAGCTTGCTGAGGACAGAAATCGACCCGGTCAATTAAGAGACGGACTCTGCAGAAATAACCAAATGGAGAAGAAGAAACCTCGAAAAAAATCCTTCGAAAACACCAGAAGGCAAAGAGAAGAGACGAAGTGAACCAAAAGAAAACAAGAAATGTCCATTCCCCTCAATTCTCGTACATATCATACGGTGGCTGCGGACGTTTCAGATCCAACATATGACTCATTTCGCACAGAATAATATCTTGATAAGCACCCCGGATATTCGCCAACGATTTCCGCCAACAGCGAACAGTATTATCTTGCATCATGCTATCACCCATACTTCTTTATAAAATACCAGCTCCTCTTTCTTGTACTAGTTTGGATAGCCGTTTCCTTATAAGGAAACATTCAGTATTCATTGACTGAGCAATCCGTATTACTGCCAATACTACAACATATACCATCCATAGGGCAATAAAACTTAGATATCTCTCTCTCTCTCTCTCTCTCTCTATATATATATATATATATATATATATATATATATATATATATACATTCGGTAGAGTAGAGGCTTATTCAACATTTGATAATTTTGTGGTAATACGTGTTTATAGGCTTCAGGCAGTTTTACTCAACGTCTCTTTTCATGGTTAGCCGTAAGGAATTGTAATAATATTTATTAAGAATTTATTACAGGAAATATCAAGTTTTATTGAAACATTGTTGACAATTATGTATTTAGTTACATAACAAATAAATAAAAATAATATAAAATTTTGA